GGATCAAAATGGAGGATAGATAGTGGGAAATTGGAAGAACATATTCATATGGGAAGGGGGAAAAAGCAGAGGAGAAGGAAAGGAAGGCAAAAGAGTTTTAAAAAAGGAATGGACGGAAAATGGAAACAAAACTTTTATAAAGAGGGTATGAGGGATAATGGGAGGGGAAGGCAATGGGAAGAAAGAATAATTAAAATATATTGTGTACAGGTACAGACTCCCCCTGATGAATGTGATCATTATGTGACATGTACTAATAAAAGAAGGATTTTGAATGTTGTCACTATGAGAGAATGATAAATAATTGAGATGATGGATATAATAATTACTCTGATTACTGCACAATAGACGTGCATTCAGACTTCACATTGTGTGTCATAAATATAATTTTTGTCAATTAAAATTTTAAAAAATTAAAAATAAAAATTTATGTCAACTAAAACAGAAGATGTTTAATAATAGTGAGGCAAAAACAACTACCTTATAAACAGTGATTTCAGAATATACATTTGTTTCAAGGAAGGAAAATATAAAAATGGTAAAATTTTTTGAAGTATTTTGTTAAGAAATTACAATTAGCATGGCTAATATTACCAATACTAATATTAATAATAAAAGTGCTAATTAAAAAATTTTAGTGTGATCTAACATTTTGGTGAAGCTAAGAAGTTTCCTGAGTTTAGTACAATTCACAAATGAGGAATTCAAAAAGAAGCATTCATGAGTGTTTCCACAAGCTAGGAATATTTGAGAAAATTCATACCAGAACCACTTATTTTCATCAGATCTTTTGTTTCATTTTTGTTTGTTTGCTTTGCTTTGCTTTACAGTGCTTGCAATCAAACCCAGTGCCTCTACATGCTCGGCAACCACTCTACCACTGAGTTACACCCCAGCCCTCTAATCTTTTTGATGTCTTTAATACATAGTCTAACATTTTTGGTGTTCGTATCACATTACTTTTATAGAAGAGTACAAAATCAATGAATACTTAAATAGACCTTAAATAATCTTTCATCTCATGAGATGAAACTTGACTAGAAACTGGATTCAGGAGAGATCTCCTTACAGTACATTCAACCTCAGGGTCTCAGTATAGCTTATTTCTTAGAAGATGCTCATTTACATCCTGGAAAGGCTGCCACTCAATCTTTAAATTTGGCTCAATAGAGCAATCTATGTGCAGCCACTGGAAATCAGTATGAATCTCCAAACTCTATGAGATGGTGTGTATAAGCTACATTGCTACTACAACAAAAATAACAGGACACATGGAGACAGATCTATTTAAAACCAAAAACCAAACATTTTCAATGCCCTAGAAAACCCTTCTCTATATTTGAGTATCCTTTATTTCAACTCACTCCTGCAATACCATTATATATTCAACTTTTAGGAAATAAGTCCTTAATTTAGATGACAGGCCCAAGATTTCATATCCTATAGAGTGCCTACCCCCAAGTTTTTGAGACAGAGTCTCACTTACTACATGTTCAGGGTGACCTTGAGCTCACTATGTCTCCCAGGCTGGCCTTGAGCTCTCAATATTCCAGCGTCAGCTCCTTAATGCTGGGATTACAGGTGTGTCCACCATGCCTGACTAGGAATTTACACAAAAAGATCAGTGTGACCTAAAAATACTTCAAATATGCAAGGAAATTGCCAGTAGCATAATGTCACAATTGGAAAAAGCTATTTCTGACCAAATAGAACCTTTCAAACTCTGAGTTAGAATATGAAATACAACCCTATTTGAGCACAAATAAAATGGTTCTACTTTCACTTGGCACATGTACCCACTAGGTTTAGAAATTCCGTCTTACAGTTTTGGTTACATTGTTTTGAGGTTTCATACAACTGTCTCATTCATGATTATTAATGCAATTCATATATGCATATGCACACTAAACTACAAGAATAGGAAATATAGGCAGATGTAAGTAGAATGAAACAGAAGAGTGTATAATATTCATTAAACATAAAAATTTATAGTTGTCAGTTTATACAAAAGGCTTCTAAAATACAGGATACTATAGTTACTTTATTGCTAGATGTTTCAGCAAGTCACTGTCTGGATTAGAGAAAAGAAAAAAAAAAAAGCACTTATATGCAGGAGCTTTAATTCATGTTGAAAAAAAGAAAAAAATCACCTTAGAAGAATTCTTTGAAACTTAGAAAATTAAAACAAGACAAAATTTGCTCCTTTGCTATATTTATCTTTAGCTGGTGGGGCTGGGGATTTAGCTCAGTGGCACAGCACCGGCCTGCCAAGCGCAAAGTCGTAGGTTCGATTCCCAGAACTGGAAAAATAACCAAATAAATAAATATTTATAACTGGTAATTACAGAGATAATTGGATTAAAAAGAAATCACTGAAACTCAACAGCTACAGGGGGCATGGAAAAAACTCACAGCCATGTAGATAAAATTGTTGAAGCACAGGGGCTGGGGATTTAGCTCAGCGGCAAAAGCGCCTGCCTGGCAAGCGCAAGGTCCTGAGTTCGGTTGCCGGTAACGGAGAAAAACAAAAAAAAAACAAAAAACAAAAAAAAAAATTGTTGAAGCACTTAAAGCAGTATTTTGTTAAAATAAAATTCATGAAATGTTCTTATTTTAAGATCTTGGCCCATAAATATTATTATATTAAATGTATATTAATAATTGATCTTTGTCTAGATTTGGAGAAGATCTCACTTATTTATCTGCAGGCAAATTTATCAAAAATAAATGTCTTACTTTAAAATAATGATGCAAATAATAACTATGTGTTCTTAAATTTATAACCCTCTGGGTATTTCAAAAATGAAATAATAGTTGAGACTCAAGTTCTTTTACTTTCATTTTCTGAGTAGACAAATGGGAAGTTTCAAAATGCTGACTGAATCTGGGTATTAATTAGAAATGGAGCCTTGACACTGCCATGTTTTATAAACTAAAACAGCATGGATCTTTTTAGTAAAATCATAGATGACAAAGGAATAATACTTTGCATGCACACATTCTGTTTAAGATCCTCTAGGTTTTCACTATTTTATTTTTGCTGAGAGTCATAGCACACACAGAATTTCCCTGATAGTTGTTAGTAAGGTCTTTACAATAGTCTAACAAGAATGAACTTATCTTTTACAATGTAATTCCATGAAAGGAAAGAATTTTCTTTGTTTTGATCACTGTTTTCCCACAGGGATCACATATTTATTGTATTTACTGAATAGTATTTATTGAACAGTATTTATTGAATTAATGTATAAAGTTGATTTGGCTACTCAGTGGAAAGACATCAGTTTTTAGTCCTTAGGAAGGTATTTTGTCTTTCTTTACAACATAGTTTTCCATTACTTATATTTACTAACTAATTACTATTTCAAACTCAGAAACAATACTCAAATTGTCCCTCACTGAGCAATCTCAATACAGAAATCTCACTATAACTGTGCAAACACAGTTTTATTATTCCCTTGTTTTTGTTTATAGCTAATCAGTTACAGATTTTGCATTTTCATCTGCCTTAAAACCAATATTTTACCAGTCCTCTCATTTAGGACCCCAAAGCATAAATCACTTATTTGAAAAATGCTGTCTCCCTTTTTGTCCTTTATATTATTAGATTCTTCCTAAACTTTTTAAAATGACCTCCATTGTTCGTGTAATAGGCCCCTGTACTTTCTGCAGATTTTTGAAAACATAGCTATCTAAAATACATGCATCTATAGGCATTTTTACTTTCCTGTGACATAGTTTTGTTGTGTTCTCATCTCTTAGCTGAATTACTTTGTGATTCACATCTCTTCACATTTTCAAATGTCAGCTCTTCGGGAGGGGCGTTCCCTACTGTAGGATTCGTATAGAATCGGTGTTTCCCTCTGCTCCATTACCTGGTTATATTTTGCTCAAAAAATTATTACTACCTGATATCACAGTATCTTTGCATTTGTGTCAAATGTTTCCTACTAAATGAAAAAGAAAGTTTCACAAGGAAAGAAACTTTTCCCTAGCTTGTTGTTAGGACTGCTTCTGTGGCCTCCTTCTCTGAGTGGGAAGCGGATTACTATTCCAGATTCTAGAGCATCACGCTCCAATTTAAAGGCAGCGTGAAGAATTCTGGGCACAATCATGTAACATCAGTACAAGTTCCCACAAGCCATCAACTCCCACATAGCATCATCACACCACTATCACATCGGCAATAAGCAAAAATGATCCTTTGTGACTTTTAGTGCTGACTACACCATTTAGGCCAAAACTTCCTAACTGTAAAAACTTCATTCAGAAATTAAATATTTATTTAGAATTATTTAAAATGCATACAGAGCACACCCTCCCCCAGCCGTGGGCCCAGCACTGCCCGGTGAGGAAGTACCGGGAAGATGATAAAGGACAACAAAGCAGAGAAGACACTCCTAGCGAGACCAACCTGCAAAGGGTAGAGGTCCGGGCCATATTTGTCAGTGGTCTTCCTCTGGATCTCAAACCTTGGGAGCTCTATTTGCTTTTCAGACCATTTAAGGGATAAGACAGTTCTCTTATAAAGCTCACATCTAAGCGGCCTATAGGTTTTATCAGTTTTGACAGTAGCTCTGAAGCAGAAGCTGCAAAGAATGCTTTGAACGGCATCCGCTTCCATCCTAAAATTCCACAAATACTACGATTAGAGTTTGCTAAGGCAAACACGAAGATGGCCAAGAACAAACTAGTAGGGACTCCCAATCCCAGTACTCCTCTGCCCAACACTGTACCTCAGTTCATTGCCAGAGGGCCATACGAGCTCACAGCACTTGCACTTAACCCCAGCAATCTGACAAAAAGGCATGGAGATAGGGGACGCTATCATTCTTAATTTTATAATATCATACATGTTCACTAGGACCACTCTTCCCTTTGAAAATTTACCTTTTGCCATCTCTCCATCAGCACTGTCACACTCTAACCTCTGTCAAGGTCTTTGAGCTCTCCGGGATGATTTGCTACTCTGCTTAACATATTGTTTTCTCTTGGGACAGAAAACTCAAAATAATTGTTTCAATAAGCAAGGAAATTGTCGCAACCGGTTTTAAAGCAGGACTTCTTGCTTCCAGGATGAAGCCTCCGAGAAGTTTGTAAGTTTTTATTAGTTCACAGTTAGCTCTTATGGGAGTGTTATGTCTTGTAAATTATCAATAAGTTTTTATATATGCACCAGGCATAATATGCCCTCCATATCTAGTATGTAGGCAATACATAGATTTATTTAAACTGTATCCCGACTCAATTGTTTACTTATTCTTGAGCAAAATTTAGCATTGTAAGCAAGGTTGTTGAATTTTTATGCAGTTTACTTTACTTCTTATGTTTGGTTTGGTTCTTATTCCATATACAGCACATGGTGTATAACTTCTAATCACAAAAGAAAAATCAAAGAACGTTTTCATTTTAGCCAGTTAGTTACAGAAATGAGTCCTATTTTAATTTTCTTTTACATAGATCCTATGCAAACAAGAGCATTTATCTAATAATTTATTCATTAACTCAGTGCTCATAGAACATAGACTTGTTATTCTGCTTAAAATATTGTTTTCCATCACCCGATTTGCTTTGAGCTTTTTAAGAATTCTTCCATTATTTGAAATAAATGATACAATTTCACAACCAAATCTTTGCTTTTCCTTGCTTAGTAATGTAGAAGTAAAATTAAGCAATAGATCTTACTGAGATTGTATTTTCAGCAGATAACCAAAGAATATTAATACATTTCATCAAATATTGCTGATCAGAAAGATAGATTGTGGTGTTAATTTGCATTGTTCTATATTTCTTTCTTTTCTTTCAGGTACCTGAAAGAGAGCATTGTTTACCCTATTGAACTCTAATCAGTGAGGCTTGATTTGGTGAAGGAACTGCAAGCAAAAGTGTCATGTAATCTCTCCCAAAGGAAGATTTAAGAGCTGATACAAATACATTTGATACTGTAAAATATCAATACACAGAAACAGCCTAACTATGATAACTCCTACTTTGAGGCAAGAAGCATATAAAACATATAGAGGGAAGAATGTAAGGAAAAAACTGAGAAGTATTCACACTATGGAATTTTATTTTATTTTATTTTATTTTATTTACTTCTTGGTTTTTTTATTTTTCTTTTTTTGTCTTTTTTGAGACAGGGTCTCACTGTGCAGTTCAGGCTGGCCTTGAGCTTATTTTGTAGCCCAGGCTGGTCTCAAACTCACAAAGATCGTCCTGCCTCAGCCTCCCAAGAGCTGGGATTATAGGCACGTGCCACCATGCCCAGCTGGAATTTTATTTTTAAAAGTTCCTCTAAGTCTTTTATATTAAGCTTAGAAGTCACCCTGGAGGACCTCTTAGCGTAGACCTCATGTATATTCAACATGAGCTTGAACGAAGCTGCTTACTATAAGAAAACTACTTATGCAAATTTTATTTCTTGATTTTGCTAAAACATGGATTTCTGAAAGATAAATTTCAGCTTATGATCCTTTAACACAAAGCAAGAGTTTCATGGATGCAGTACTACCTTTAGTTGACATTATAATATAAATCTTCCTTCATATTTTAGTACTAAATTTTATCATTCGCATTTCTTTACAAATATTGTATTAAACAGGTGCCCGACACCCAAACTAACAACAGTTAACTTTCCTTCTTGATACTAAAAAATCCTGTTGAAGGATATGTACTTAACATGAGACACAGGTGGTTCCATGACTTGACATAAGATTTTCTTATAGAACAGCTCCTCAGAAAATATTTGGAATATTCTAATACAAGGTAACCTTGCTTTATAGAGCTGTCTACCTCAATCAGAGGTCTATAATTTATCCAGTTCTTTCCAATTTATCATAAATATGTTTTCCTTATAATGTATACATTGTAAAGTTAGGATTTACAGAAATGGAGAAGACAGATGCTGTGACCTTTATTTGGAAGATAGTGATCATTTCACTATTTAAAAACTGATTTGGGGCTTATTTCTTTTCCAGAGCCAAAGAGATCCTTTACACAATGCTTTTACTGCATTTTTCTGTATCCTTGACTTCCTCTCATCGATATTTGGTGTTTTACAGAACATCTGCTATAGTTGAAGTGAACAGGACAGAATATAAGTCACAGTCCCTTTCAAAATTCTTCCTCAGTTAAATCAACATTCCAGTTCTGCCATGTTCAGTATTTTCTTAATTCAATTTGATTGCACTCCCCCTTTAGTTCTCCAATCTGAGCTACTATGACTTACTTCAAATATCTCCCCAAATGTGGCTTCTGTTGTAGTATCACTCAAAGTATTGCAGAGAATATGTTCACATTAACCTATAAAAGATGCCAGTTTATTCATGATTGAAAACTATACAGAAAATCCAGATTATCAAATCGTATTTTCCTGGACTGACATTAAATATGCCACATCAAATGTTTCTAGACATCCTTCTTAACAAAGGCTGTCCAACCTGTTTATATTAAGCGCACACAGTATTCCAATTTCATTTCCGTCTGACTGTCCAGTACTTCTCCTGTAACAACTCCAGACTACCATACATACTAGTACTTCTTTATACTAGCTGCTAAAGTATATAGCAATCATTCCTCATGACAACCGATTACCCTGAATACTTTCCAAATCCCTGCTCTTTTTCAGTAAACATATTAAACTGGATACTAAGTAATAGTAATAAATACAAATATTAAGAATGCTGTCATTTGCATGTATAATAAACATATAAAACGGTTTACAATGATTTATTATAGAAATACTTTAAAAACAACAATAAGTAATGAATTACTTGCTGAAAAAACTTAAAAGTATTGTAATTGGTGAAAAAATAAGGAAGAGCTCAGTCATTATAATCATGTCTATAAAGAACAATGTATAATTTATAACACAATTATATAATTATGATACAAAACTGCATATTTTTGCTTAATGGTTCCTTGATTAGTGATTCATGCATAAAAGAAAATTTGATAATAAAACTATAAACTAACAAAATTTTCATCTTTGCTAATCATGTCTCTCAACCTAATACCTTCCTTTATGAATCGCCCCCCCAACCTGTTTCTATGGTACTTTGTATACATTTCTGCTACAGCACTTATTTTAATAAGACATAGAAGGCAATACTTCTTCATTTTAAAATTCCTTGTAATTACTATATGATGAATTTACTCAAAGTTTTATTGGCTGGGTGACCAAACGAATATTATAATTGCATGCTTTTTAAGATATTATGATATAAAATGACAAGTACACAGAAAATTAAGATATGATATTCAATAAAATATCATATTTCCTATAGGAAGTCACATTCACTATGCAACTATGCTGCAATGCAAAGTGGAAACCAGACCAAACTTTAAAACCCTTTATTAGTAGTAACTATAATTTTATGCTTCAAATGAATTCGAGTGATGTGTATACTGTTTGTTGTATTCAGATAATACAGAGGCAGCTCGGCTTTGTTCTTATTTACTTAGATGCCTAAGAAGCAGACACTTAAATAACCTTTTCTACTTCCTCTTAAGTAACAAATGAAGCAAATAATTGGAAGCTGGTAGCTGTCCAAGGAAATTAAACAATTGCTCAGTTGAGCCTAAAATATAAAACTTCAGGATATTAAGATTTTGTGGAAACTTTTCTTCCATAAATTAATTTTTCAGCTTCTTGTGAAATATCTATTCTTTTCAAATTTCTTATACCAGTGCTTCTGAAATTTCAGATCTTTTTCCTAGATACACTGAAATGTTTTGTAAACAGTGTACATATGCAAACAAGCAAATTCTGAGAAAATATTCCTCATCAAACTAAACTATATACCATGTAGTTTAACAAAAAAGAGACAGATAATATAAATAGAAAGATGAAAAGAATACTTGTCTTAGTTTACCAAATGCATGTTTCAGGATTTAATAATAGAGCAATAGTTTTATAATCATACTTAAGATATGTAAGAAGGTTTCTAAAGATTTCTGAATTAAAAGTAAGGTAGAATCTCTAGAATTAAATTCATCAATCATCTTAAAGGATCAAATTTGCTTTTCAGACTTGACCCAATATACAAATATAATTTAGGTCATGCTTGAAAGGGGAGATGCTATGTACATACTAGATAGGCTCCATATTTCATCAATGGAAGAAATAATTTAGACCTATAGGCTTAAGTTAAATATGTAGCCTAAAAGAATACAACTTTAAAATTATCAAATATAACTAGAAGTATGACTCACTTATAGAATGTCTGCCTAGGATGCATAAGGCCATAGTTTTGTTAGCTCAGCAACACACACACACACACACACACGCAATTGGTAACATATGTAACATTAGTATTCTTTTGAAGGCAACTTAACTTCACAAACACACAACCATTAATGCTTAGATAAAATCTATATTGTCATAAAACTTACATTACTTGGGCCACATTCTTCACATATTTATTTGAACATCATCCAAGTTACATTCTGTATAGTCAAGATTCTGAGGTAGTGTGGGAGATTAAAAGACCTTATGCATGTAATATGAAATCATAACTGAAGCATTTTTCATATCAGAAATAAAGAATGATTTTTATACTGTTAATAGCTGATTGTTTCCTAAAGTTATGCTGATATCTCAATGTACATACATGGAAAAGAAGAAATTAAATCTTCTAAAATAATATAGAAAAATAAATTTGTTGACAGTAGTACATTTGCTTTCTGTTATTAAGTAGAGGAGTTTCTAAAAATCTTCATAACATTTCAATTGTGTAGAAGTACTTTTGCCCTACCATTCTCAAATTTTGAATATAAGTTACTCATTGAAACAAATATTGCTTATTGCATTCATTTTGCATGTAAAGATTTTTTCATTCACGTGTTAAATGTAACAAGTATGGTAGTGGAAAAAAGTGTATACACATGCTGTTTTTTCTTCTTAAATCAACAAACATCACCTTCCAAGTTCACTGCAGAGTAGGATAATACTGTCAGGGTTGATTCACTGTGTCAGTTGCAGAAGTCTAGACGCTTAACTAAGTAACTCAGTAGTTCTACATCTTTGAAGACACATCCTTACCACTCTAGGATGTTGTTCATGTGTCCATTTGAGAAATTTAGAAATTTAACTAAGTGATTGAGCAGGGGTCCAGGGTCCTCACTTTGTGAACATCCTGGCATGTAGAAGAGGAGTACATAGTGTGAATGCTACATCCGTTGGAGGGCAGGTAGCCTGCATACAATGTAATGGAGGAAAAGAGGCTTGCCCTCACCTCACCTATTGTTCTTGTTGCTTTTGCTGTCTTCTCCAGCCTTGAACTGTTGCCCCTGTGCCATACCACCCTGCACGAGAGCCAGTTCTTCATGGACTGAACCCTCCACAAACTGTAAGCTAAATAAACTCTTTCTTCCCTAATTTTGGACATCAGGTATTTTGTCTCAGCAATGAGAGAAAAATAACTAAGACAAATACATTAAAACAGAAACCCTAAAACTGCTAAAAGAGGAAATAGATACAATTCTTGAAGACACAGTCTAGGCAAGGACTTCATAAACAAAATCCTGATCACGTGGGAAATATTACAAAGAATCAACAACTGAGACCTCGTCTTGTTTAAGAGCTTTTGCACAGCTAAAAGAAATCACCAGCAGAGTAAAGAGACAACACATAGACAGGGTAAAAAAATTTTTGGAGCATTTTGCCAGATTTTCCTCAAAGGATTAATATCTAGAACATATAAACAGATGAAACAAATCAGACCTCCCAAATTTGAAGACCCCATCCAAAAATTGTATCTGAAATTAACACACACTTCTCAGATGAAGAAGTTGAAATGGCAAATAAATATATAAAAAAACTGCTCAACATCACTGGTCATTTGAGAAATCCCAGTTAAAACAATGCTGAGATTCCATCTCACCCTAGAAAGCAACCAATAACAAATGCTAGAGGAGCTGTGGATAAAAAGAAAGCCTTCTCCACTGTTGGTGGGAGTGTTGATTGGTGCAACCACTGTAGAAATAGGTGTGGAGATTCCTCAAAAAATTGAATTAAGATGTTCTATTCAACCCAGGTATT